AGGTGCTGGGCATGTTTAGCTTGAAGAAAAGATGGCTGACTGGGAATGTAAAAGTCATGTTTCAATATTTGAAAGGATGCCACTTTGAGGAAGGGGGCAAGCTTGTCTTCTGCTGCTCTAGATACTAGAACATGGAGTAATGGATTCAAATGGCAGGAAAAGAGATTCCACCTAAAGATTAGGAAGAACTTCTTGATCGTAAGAGCTGTTCAGTGGTGGAATATGCTCCCTTTAAGCATTGCAGAGTCTATGATTAAATGTTTGCCATCTTTTGTTGTAATCCATTGCGTGGGGGAGGCTCCTTCTTCGGAAGCTTTTAAACAGAGGCTGGATGGCCATCTCTCAGGGGTTATTTGAATGCAATACACCTGCTTCTTGGCAGGGGGTTGGACTGGATGGCCCATGAGGTCTCTTCCAACTCTTTAATTCTATGAGAGTCGCCTTCTCTGGAAGAAGACTCTGGATACCCATTATTTGGGGGAATCAGGTGGCTCCTGCAGCTTCTTCCAACTCTATGGCTCTATGATTAAATGTTTGCCATCTTTTGTTGTAATCCATCTTGTGTTCCCCTGTGGAGAGAGGGCAAAATATAAATAAAGTTTAGTTATTATTTTATTATTATGATTGTGTAATCACTGTTTTCAAACTTGCTTTATAAATAAAGTTGAGATTCTTTTCATGTAATGCCAGGACACCCAACTACTCCTGCTTTACCACCTTTTCCTTTCCTTTCTTTCTTTAAAGATACTGTAAATTTACAGCTATGAATGCAAACATTTCATATTTATTTTTCTAGGGGTGAGGATTCCACAGCATCTTGCCTGATGTGACTAAAGGTGCACAATTGTGTCTATGGTCACAGTTTCATTCGTTCATTCATTCATTTTTTTTTTAATCCTGCCTTTCTCCCGATATAGACACTCATAGTCAACATCACGTTTATTTGTATGTTGCTTTTCCATGGTAAAACTGTACTAGCTATTTGTGCAGGTACATGTATGTGTGTTTGTGTGCAGTTGTATCTGTATATGCACAGGAAAAAGTCATCTGTGTTGGATAATTTCAAAAAAGAAAGGAACATTGAACATTCAAAAAGGAAAGGCAAATGCTGATTTAATATCAGTAAAGGTTTGATCTTTTATGCCTATTTATATACCGTGGTCACATAAACCTTTCTTGAGCCAAAAGGGTTTACGAGTGGAAAAATTTAAGAAGCCAAATACTAGACAACTGGAATCTGTGGTGCAGAACAAATAAAACTTGTATCACAAGTGCATTGTTTTAAAAGCAACTTTCCAACTGTGGTATGCTTTTTTTCCTCCTAAGGATGTATGTACTGTAGAATTAATGCAGTTTGACAACACCTGAACTGCATTGGCTTCATGTTGTGGCCTCATGGGATTTGTAGTTTGGTGATGTGGCAGCTCTCTTTGAAGGCCTTGTAAAACTACGATGATTCCATAGCATTGATCCATGGCAGTTAAAGTTATTTCAAACTGCAGTCATTTTGCAGTGTAGTTGCACCCTTCCAAGGGCCCTTTCACATAGCCATATAACCCAGAATACCAAGGCTGAAAATCCCATAATATCTGCTTTGAACTGGAGCCCCTTCCACACAGCTGAATAAAATCCCACTTTATTTATTTATTTATTTACAGCATTTATATACCACTTTTCTCACCCCTAGGGGGACTGCTTTGAACTGAGATATATCTGCTTTGAACTGGGATATATGGCAGTGTAGACTCAGGGCCCTTCCACAGGACAATCGACACACACACAGCCCTATATCCCAGAATATCAAGGCAGAAAATCTGAATCCACACTGCAATAATGTGCGATTTTTTGCCTTGATATTCTGGGATATAGTGCTGCGTGGAAGGGCCCTTAGATAAAGGCTCCCAAATGTGAAGAGACAACTGTACTATGCACTGTCCAGGAGAAACTATGAACACAAAAGGTTAGGGGGGTGGGTGGGTGAGGGGGGCATCTTAAAGGGATACTCAATATATCATAGGAACCCTATGGGTTAAAGAGATGTGCCTTCAAGTCACCTGCCAACTTGTGGCAACTCTTATTAAATGAATACTCAGAGGCAATTTTGCAAGCCCCATCCTCTGAAATGTAGTTTACAGTACTTGGTATTCTAAAATAAATGAGATGAGAACCGAGGTTTGCAAGGTGCAACAAAACATCCGGCTATAGTGGATCCTACTTAGCCAGGGATGTTGTAAACTGAATCACTAAAGGCTCTTCCACAAAGCCTTATATCCCAGAATATCAAGGCAGAAAATCCCACATTATCGCAGTGTGGACTCAGATAACCCAGGCCCCTTCCACATAGCTTCATAAAGTCCCACATTTTCTGCTTTGACCTGGACTATATGGCAGTGTAGACTCAGATAGCCCAGTTCAAAGTAGATAGTGTGGGGTTTTCTGCCTTGGTATTCTGGGTTATATGACTGTGTGGAATGGCCCTGGGTTATCTCAGTCCACACTGCCATAAATTCCAGGTCAGAGCAGATAATGTGGGATTTTATTCAGCTATGTGGAAGGGGCCCAAGATTGAAAAATGTTAAGTCAGGTTTATCTAAGGCCCCTTCCACACTGCTGAATAAAATCCCATATTATCTGCCCTGAACTGGGATATATGGCAGTGTGGACTCAGATAACCCGCTTCAAAGCAGATATTGTGAGTTCTTCTGCCTTGATACTTTAGATTAAATGGTTGTGTGGAAGGGCCTTAACTGGTGCCTTCTAGATATTGTGGAACATAGGGCCTAGCAGTGGTTAGATGGGATTGATGGGCATTGTAATCCAAACTGTTTGAAAGCTATTCCCTTTCTGCCAGAGCCTGCATTGGGCTGGAAATAATTAACAATGACCCCGATCCCCACTAGAATTGTGAAGACTGAAGGATGGAGATTCCATCTGAACATTAGGAAGAACTTCCTGACTGAGAGAGCTGTTCAGCAGTGGAACTCCCTGCCCCAGAGTGTGGTAGAGGCTCCTTCTTTGGAGGCTTTTAAACAGAAGCTGGATGCTCATCTGTTCGGGGTGCTTTGAATGCAATATTCCTGCTTCTTGGCAGGGGGTTGGACTGGATGGCTCAAGAGGTCTCTTCCAACTCTATGATTCTATGATTCTATCTGCCAGGGAGACCCTTCTTGTCGTCCTGCCACTTTCACAAGTGTGGTTGGTGGGGACGATGGAGAAGGTCTTATCAGTGGTGGCCCCCCAGCTTTGGAATGTCCTCTCCAGGGAGATTAGTCAGATTCCCACACTGTCCTCCTTCCAGAGGGAATTGAATACTTGGATATTTGGACAAGCATTTGAGAATATCTAGCCCCAAAGGTCTGCAATTAATGAAACAGCACTGTAATTTCATTCATTAGTTACAGCTTGCACTACGAGGTCTCTTCCAACTCTATGATTCTATGGCTTCAACTAGTGTAATACACCTCCAGGGGATGAAAAGATTTGTACGGCAGTTCTTTAGACTTGTGGTTGACCCTGTGTGTTCCTCGAGGCTTTGGGACTTCAACTCCCAGAAGCCCCAGCCAGCTAAGCCGACTGCTAGGAATTCTGGGAGTTGGAGTCCAATACACCTGTAGGAGCAGAGGTTAGGATAAAATGATAAAGCAAGCATTCCTATGTATTGTCGAAAGCTTTCATGGCTGGAATCACTGGGTTCTTGTGGGTTTTTTCGGGCTATAGGGCCATGTTCTAGAGGCATTTCTCCTGACGTTTCGCCTGCATCTATGGCAAGCATCCTCAGAGGTAGTGAGGACACAGCATTTTATTTGAGAACACAGAAATGCTGGACCACTCTCACAACCACCATGTCAGACTACACAGAGAAGCCATTGAAATCCACAAGAAGCATGTGGACAATTTCAACAGAAAGGAAGAGACCATGAAAATGAACAAAATCTGGCTACCAGTATTAAAAAACTCTAAAATTACAACAGCAAAACAGCAGAGAGGAAACAACCAGGCACATCTTAACACCTCTCAACAGAACAATTTTCCCAGGCTCAGCCAGGCCTTCAAATGCTAATGAAGGTGGTCAGTTGAAACATTCACACCTAGCTTCAGCAGAGAGCTCTTTGCCCCACCCCAGCCATTCCACAGATATATAAACCCATTGTCCTAATTCCAACAGACCTCACTACCTCTGAGGCTGCTTGCCATAGATGCAGGCGAAACGTCAGGTCAGGGGGGGTTTCGGGGGGGCTGAGTTTTGGGGGGGGGCTGAGTCTGAGTGAAAGAGGGTCTAGCCTAGCAAACCTTTTGTATCATTACCCCAATACCCCCATACATATGGGATATATTGAGAATGGTGATCAAATCATGATATGAATAAACATAACAGTTTAAATAATGCACCAGTAAGGCCTTTTCGCGAACCACCATGAGAATTTCGGGGGGGGGGCTGAAGCCCCCCCCGCCCCCCCCGACTACATGCCTGACCTCTGAGGATGCTTGCCATAGATGCAGGCGAAACGTCAGGAGAAATGCCTCTAGAACATGGCCCTATAGCCCGAAAAAACCCACAAGAACCAAGCACTCCTATTTTATACATTCTGCTCAAAGTCACCCTGCAAATAAGAGTGACTATTAAAGGCGTGCAGAATTCAAGTGGAAGAAACCCTGAAGACTGAGTGAGGAACTTGGGACAAGTGAAAAAGAAAACTCCATAATTATAACAAAGAGAGAGAGAGAGAGAGAGAGAGGGGGGGGGGGGGGGGTGTGTGTGTGTGTGTGTGTGTGTGGTGTGTGTGTGTGTGTGTGTGTGTGTGTGTGTGTGTGTGTGTGTGTGTGTGTGTGTGTGTGTGTGTGTGTGGTGTGTGTGTGTGTGTGTGTGTGTGTGTGTGTGTGTGTGTGTGTGTCTTCGATACGCATGCGCAGTGCTTTACAAGTTTTCCCCAAAGCCGGTCTCTATGGCGCAAGGCACGCCGGGTAGCGTCCCTTGGTTACTGTTGTCAGGAGGGCCCTCGCGCCCCTTACCGGTCTCCTCCGCCCAGGAGACAGTTCCCTGGAGGGAGAAGAAATGGTGAAGCAAACCATCCAGATCTTTGCGCGGGTCAAACCGCTGGGCAGGAGGCAGCCGCCTGGGGTAAGTGGGCGCGCCAAAGGGCAGGAAAGTGAAGTTAGACAAGAGTTAGGGGTGCAGAGAGGCGGACAGCGAAATTCCAGGCCAAAAGGGGGAGTTCTTGTGGGGAGGGGCCTGGAAGGGGCGGAAGGAAGGAAGGAGGCTTGCTCAGTTGAGGCAGCAGGTGTGCAATGCAGCCCTTCAAGTGGGAAACAGACGGCTGCTTCGGGCTCTTCCACACAGCCCTATATCCCAGATTATCAAGGCAGGGAATCCCACAATATCTCCTTTGAACTGGGTTATCTGAGTCCACACTGCCATATAACCCAGTTCAAAGCAGAAAATGTGAGACTTCATACAGCTGTGTGGAAGGGATCTTAGAAAACAACTCTTAGAGAAACATTTTCTAGTGGGAAGAGGAGGACTACAACTCCCAGCATTCCTCAACCACCTGCTCCTGGTGGCTGAGGATTATGGGAGTTGCAGTCCAAGAAAGTAACATAATACTCACTTTGATACCTGCCGATGCCCAGGTTAGGGGTTCTGAAGGAACATATCCAACCTTCTTCACTAGGGCTGTAGCGGGGTGTGTGTGTGGGGGGGGTGGGGGGGTGGGGGGGGGGGGGGTGGCACCGGGACTGTGGCGCAGCTGGTTGGGGGTCAGTTAAATTTTAATTTTTTATTATTTATTATTTATTTCTTATTATTTCTTATTTCTTATTTCTTATTTATTTATTTCTTATTTCTTATTTCTTATTTATTTATTTCTTACTTCTTATTTCTTATTTTTAATTATTTTTAATTATTTTAATTATTTTTATTTTAATTATTTTTTATTTATTTCTTATTTCTTATTGCTTATTATTTATTATTTATTATTTATTTCTTATTTCTTAATTATTTTTTATTTTCTATTTTCTATTTTCTTTCTTTCTTTTAGTTACAGAGATTGGCGCAGCTGGTGGGGAGTCAGCTGCATTAAGATCACTACTGAGTTCAAAGCCAGCCTGGGTCGGAGTGAGCTTCCGACCAGTTTGTGTAGCTTGCTGTCGACCTTTGCAGCCCAAAGGACAGTTGCATCTGTCAAGAAGGAAATTTAGGTACCTTAGGTAATTTAACAAATTTATGACGCCATAAAAATCTCCAGCAAGCATGCAAAAAAGGAGGAAGTACTTCATCAGTGTCACAAATGGACCGTAAAGTGATAGCTCCCCTGGTGGCCAGAATACCCTAATCAAAAAAACAAAACAAAAAAAAGCTGGAATGTTAAGTAGCCTCTGTGTGTCTGCCTATATATGTTGTGTGTCTATGGCATTGAATGTTTGCCATGTATATGTACATTGTAATCCACCCGAAGTCCTCTTCTGGGTGAGAAGGGTGGAATATAAATACTGTAAATACATACATACATACAGAAATGTTTAATCCCACCCTGAAATGTGTCAGGTTAAAAAAGGGCAAAAGTATGATAGCTGGGACCCAATGCTGGTTGCACAACGCGGGTCAGAATTAGAAAAGCGAGGTCTTGTGCAAGACAGCATTAAGTTTATAGCACCCTTCATCCACATGTAATTACGTTTGAGTGATAGTGAAGGATGGTAAAAAATGGCAGTTAGCAATAGTTAAGTTTAGAGCACACACCAGCATCTCACTCGCTGCGCATGTGTAATTCTGACCTGTGTTGCGCAACCAGCATTGAGTCCCAGCTATCATACTTTTGCCTAAAAAAGAAACCTGGTTTACTCATAACTCATAACTTCTACTGTTAGGCCCAGCTTCTGCCAATCTAGCAGTTCAAAAATATGGAAAGGTGAGTAGATCAGTAAGTACCGCTTCTGCAGGAAGGTAACGGCACTCAATGCAGTCATGCCGGTCACATGACCTTGGAGATGTCTACGGAAAACGCTGGCTCTTTGGCTTAGAAATGGAGATGAGCACCACCCCCCAGAGTCACACACGACTAGACTTAATGTCAGGGGAATCCTTTACCTTTACCTGTAAAATACATGTATTAAAATACATCTTACAAAGATTAAAATACAATATAATGTAAATTTTAAATTTGTGGGCAAGAACAAGCTAGACAAATGCCAATGCAAAGGGCACACAGAATCATCCTGGATCTCTTGGGATCCAGGATGATTCAATCAATATTAAAGCAGTCCATATGTATTTTAGTATTCATAATTTTAAAATCACCTGAATAAGTCTGCCAGAAAAGATTGGCCTTTGAACAGGCAAAAGCCTCTAGAACAGTGGTTCTCAACCTGTGGGTCCCCGGGTGCCCGGTAATCCCAGCCAGTTTACCAGCTGTTAGGATTTCTGGGAGTTGAAGGCCAAAACATCTGGTGACTCACAGGTTGAGAACCACTGCTCTAGAAGATCAGCCAAAGCAACTGCCTGGATAGTTGAAAGTTCACCACTTATCTTGCTTTCTTCTCTTAGGTCTCATCAACACTGTCATATAATGTATATAGTTTCAGAATGCAGTTTAACATCACTGAATTGGAATATATGCGTCTACACTGCCATATAATGCAGAACAATGCATTAAAACTGCACTGTGAAACTATATGAAAGTGTAGATGAGGCCTACATGAGAATATTCTCAGGTTCTCAGTCCCAGGGTGCATTTACATTGTAGAACGAATGCACTTTGACACCATTGTAGTTGCCATAACTCAGTGATGTGGAGTTGTTGTTTTGCACCTTCTTTATTAGCCTTCTTTGTCAAAGAGGACTGGTGCCTCATCAAACTACCATTCCCAGGATTGCATGGCTCAACATGGCAGCTAAAGTTATGTCAAACTGCTTTTATTGTACTGGTGGACTGGACATTGTTACAGTAATACTATGTATTTGCTTGGATTGGATTTCCACAGTTGCAGCTGACACTTGACAATGCTCTAGAAAGTCATAACTCCTGCGTTTTGCTATATTGTCACCGGTATTAACATTCTATAGCAATTAACTTAGATGACTGTTGTTCCTGACCACTACCTGACCTGTATTTGATGCTGGATTGCATGAATCCATAAAAGATATACTTTTTAAAAATCCTTATTTAGGAGTATAATTTTGTGGATTATTCATGTTAATTGAGTTCCAAAGGACTGACTTCCCTGAGGGGTTTAAATGTTTCAGCGAATAGCTGAAGTAAATTCCAAACTTTATTTGTTACACTATAAATTAAAGGTGAAGATGCTTGTGTTATCTTGTCAAGATTTTTCTCACTTTAGTATATTTCTGCGTTACTTGAATAGTGCAAGTAAAATTGGATCTTGACAATTTTTATTACAAGAATTATTTGTAAATGTTTTCACATTAGCAAAATCATCTTATTGAAACATGTTGTAGCCCTCACATATTAGGACATATGGATAATTTTTCATGTATTAAAAAAACATAGGTAAATGGGAAGAATTTAATTATTTCATTTATCATTTAATGGACCACTTTTGTTTTATAGATATATTCAGTGGATGAAGATGAGACATCAACATTCAGTTTGGAGATTATTGTGCCACATGATTTGGCAGATGGTTTTGTCAATAATAAACGAGAAAGCTACAAGTTCAAGTAAGTAGGGGTGTTGCTTTTTGGTATGCCATTTGTTTTAGAAATTTTATGATGAAACATTTGATAAGGCAAATCTCATAGATCACTACATCTTGAAATGCTTCCTTTGAGTTCTCTGCTGAAAAGAAGATCTATTAATGGAATATTCAATGATGAGATTTGGAGAATCCATTAAAGCTCCCCAGTTTCCCAAAAATGCGATTTTATTGTACACTTCAAATTTTCAGTGCTGCTTCTAGTTACAACACACATATTTTACCACAAGAAAATAAGGAAAAATGTAAGCTGGCTATGACACTGGTGTGCCATGTACACTGATCATTCAATACAGTTTGAATCTAGCCAGACATCAAGCTCCCACAAAAGTGCATGAAAGAAAACCCTTATCTGCGCTCTGTGGTTTGTGCAATTAGTATCCAGCCCCAAACTGGTTCCAGAATTTCTTTTACACAGTGAAAACACTTTATCTTAATACTGGTTTGAAACTGCATGAAATGGTCATTATAGATTGGGTCTGTGTATGTTTAGTTTGGAGGGAAAAAAACAGAGAAGTGGGATGGTAACCATCTTTATGTGGAAGGATGCCATATAGAAGATGAAACAAGCTTGTTTTCTGATGTTCCATAAACTAGAACACAAACTACTTGATTCCAATTACAAGTAAAGAGTTTTAGTCTAAACATTAGGAAGAACTTATTTGCTGTAAGAACTTTTAAAACAAACTACTATATTTCATTACATAATAGTCACCATCGGATAATAGTTGCATCCCCCTTGTTGAGGCCCCAGCTTAGGTAATTTATAATTCTTCGCTGCCTGCGCACCTGCTCCTTGGTTGGGTAGCCCTGTAACTTCGAGGGGCAGGCGTGTGGGCAGGCGGTGTGAGAGCTATAGAGCTTCCTTTGGCTGGCGATAGCCAAGGGAAGCCCTGCAGCTCTCACTGGCAGATGTGCAGGTGAGGGAAGGCTCACTCACCCCTATGCCTGCTGTAAAGAAATATGAGGCTTCCCTTGGTTGGCAGGCACACAGGCGAGTGAGCCTTCCCCCATCTGCATGCAAACAGGTAAGAGCTACAGGGCCTCCTTCAGGTGGGGCAGCCAAGGGAAGCTTTGTAGCTCTCATGAGAGGCCTCGCTTAGAAGAAATGTGACTTATGCTGTGAAATATAGTATGTCAAAGCATGGTGGAATATTCTCTTTATGAATATTCTCTGTAATTGCTGTACCCATGATTATTGTGGAATAAAAAAGGGGCTTCCTCCCAAACAATTGTGCATGGAATTCCTCCAAGTCAACTTTATCCATCCACTGTCAGAATGAATACCACTGGTTAAATGGATTTGTCCTCTCCAGATCTGCTTTAGATGAAGGGCGATCATATAGGAAAGATTATGAAGTGTAGAAATGTAGCTGGATGAGAATAATACATTCCATGGGGGAAGTCTGCTTACATAGTTTGAATATTGCACTTTGTTAATTATTTTTCACCTTAGATTAAGCTGTAATGTTAGTATTGCTTCATTTTTTAATTTATTAATAACTTTCTGGGTAAATGCTGTTGAAGAATTAATGTAGACTCTGCTCTTTGGCACACTGCAATAAATTGTGTTGTAAACCAGAACTTTTAAGAATGTTTCCAGGGCATTTGAATTGTAGCCAAATTTGGAGGATCAGAATAAATTTATTAGAGAAAACAAAGAGTTTGCCCTGTGTAGAAGTGTTCTATGGAGTAACGTACTCCTAAAAGGGATTTTTTTTAAAGCAAAGGCTTCTGTAATCTGTTTGAAATATAGCCTTTGTAAGTGTAACATTGTTTTAAATTACTAAATTATCAGCTAGATGATGGAAATAAGGCACATTTTGAGAAATATTTAATCCTCTACTAAACTAACTTCAATAATAACTTTTTGTTCTAAAGACTTTAAAAAAAAAACCCTGAAAACAATCTGTACTGTTTATGTGTTCTAATTGATTCTGGGTTTGCTTATACAAGTTCCTGTGTGTGTGGCTGTTTGGAAACACTTATCCCCATGACAGTAGTAAAAATATAGTTTGCTTTTTTAAGCAGTATAATTTAATCAGAGGATTTTATTGTACAGATTTTGTCAAAGCAGCAGTGTTTTACCATCTTTTGTGAATTCAACAGCACAACAACATAGTGGTGAAGACTACAGGGAGAACATTGTGCTAGGTTATGTAAGTCAAGTGATGTAAACATTGACTTAGTTACAAACATCAAAAAGGAAAAAAAAGGGATCAAGTATTTTAAGATGTTATTTGACTGTTGTTTACAATTTCAGATTTCAGAAAGTTTTTGATCAGGAGTCAAAACAAGATGAAATTTTTGAAGCCATTGCTAAGCCAGTTGCAGAATGGTAAGTTTGATCTTGTTCAGTGATCTGTTTAGGCATTAATCAGAACGGTTTCTGACACAATCTGTTGCTGTTTTTAACAGTAGATGATACATTCAGTAAATGATTTATTTTGTTCCAAAAAGATTTTTCTAGTCCGTGCAAGCACAGGACCTGAGCCCATAATGACAAGATGGCCACCTCCTGATCAGACTGTTAGTGCACTAAACATTAGTGCTGGATGAGATAAAATGCAGAAGTGGATTTGACTAGTTTTGCCCAAGTCATTTCATATGACCTTTTAAAATATGTGTTGGTATATACTTTTTCTTTGTATTGACAATTACCAGGCCTGTAGCCGGGGGGGGGGGGGGGGGGGTGGAACCAAAAATTTTTAGGGTTATAAAAAAAAAACTGCGTTTACTCATCTCAATTTAACTGGTTACCATAATCCCCAAGCCTAAGTCTATGAGGACGCCCCCAAAATATAAGAGTCACTAACCAGAACCGCACTGGTTCTTAATGATTCCACACTGCCCATTTATCACAAATTGTATCCACGACCGATACCCATCACATTAGCAGCCTACAAAACAATAGCCCATGCCTAGTGAAAGCAACCAAGTTGGACGAGGGGGGGAAGGATCTCACTACGATTTACCCTTTAGTCGACGTAGGGAGTGCTTAGCAATATGCACACTAACTCATTGAGAGAGACGCCAGACTTGGTGCGAGGCATAGTAGGGCCTCTTGGCTTCAGCGATGAGCATTTAGCGAGGCATAGGTTTCATAGCCCCCCCTGGTGCAAATTTCAACCCCTCCTGGGAATTTTTATGATACTGGCCGGGGTGTGATCGACGGCCCTGGCTACATCTCAATCAAAAAAAGCATTGTTGTTGTTCATTCATTCAGTTGTTTCCGACTCTTCGTGACCTCATGGACCAGCCCACGCCAGAGCTCCCTGTCGGTCGCACCACCCCAGCTCCTTCAAGGTCAATCCAGTCACTTCAAGGATGCCATCCATCCATCTTGCCCTTGGTCGGCCCCTCTTCCTTTTTCCTTCCATTTTCCCCAGCATCACTGCCTTCCCCAAGCTTTCCTGTCTTCTCATGATGTGGCCAAAGTACTTCATCTTGGCCTCTACTATCCTTCCCTCCAGTGAGCAGTTGGGCTTTATTTCCTGAAGTATGGACTGGTTAGATCTTCTGGCAGTCCAAGGCACTCTCAGAACTTTCCTGCAACACCTCAGTTCAAAAACATCTATCTTCCTTCACTAAGCCTTCCCTATGGTCCAGCTCTCACATCCGTAGGTGACTAAGGGGAATACCATTGCTTTAACTATGTGGATCTTCGTTGCCAGTGTGATGTCTCTACTCATCACTATTTTATCGAGATTGGACATTGCTCTCTTCCCAAAAAGTAAGCGTCTCCTGGTTTCCTGGCTGCAGTCTGCATCTGCAGTAATCTTTGCACCTAGAAATACAAAGTTTGTCACTGTAGTAGGATGTAAATGTATATGTGTCCCTTGATCAAATGGCTAGCATTAATACTTAGAAGAAAGTCCATCTAGATAACTTCAAGACAAATCCCAGACTTCCATACCAGGTGGCCAACCTTGGAACTCTGCCCAAACACTTCTTGAACATGTAGCTAGACTCTTAAAAAGTTGTAAAAAAAAGAAGAAAGAAACATAGCTAGTTACTTAAAAATCAAGGCATAAACAAAACCAGAGTTATAAATGGGAAAAGTGAATGCTGCATTTGGCCTACCACCCCTTTTCAGAAAAAAAATTACTCAGCAGTCCGCTCGACACCCCCCCCCCCGGGAAATCTACTTTTTTAAAGGAAACAAACAGGAAGATGCAGTGCCAATTTGCATTCTTTTATGCACCTATATTTCTCCTTACAGGCAACAACATAGTAAAGAAAGACGTGGTGGTAAATAAGACACACTGAAGGTTGAAATTAAAATCAACCATAGGAACATTTGCATTATACATAGAAAACATACGATGAAGAATAATACTGAAATTATGAATAACATTAAAAATAATCCTAAATGAGAAGAATGAACCTGGTACACTGCTATCCATGTATTAATGTTCAACTCTACTTTTGTCAGCACGAGTTAATTTTTTTGAATCCTTATTGTACTTGCACTTTTATTAACTGCTTGTCCCACAGTTCAGAAACAAACTAAATTAGATTTCATACCTGTTGCATATTAGTATAGTATGGTAAACAAGTGAATAAATATTCCTGCCAACGTATGCCAGACATCCTGATAATGTGTGGCACATTTGCCTGCCAACATTTGCTTGTTAAGACTTGTCAGCAGACTTGACCACTTTAACTCTATATTGCATGACAGATGAAACTTGTATGAATGGTTTTTCAAAATTGTCTTATTTCTTTATGTTTTATCCCCCCCCCTTATTTTTTAAAATGCCCTCAAATTGCACCCCAGGTTACTATGGCCCCCTGGATCACTCCAGTGCCCCCAGAGGGCAATACGTTCACTTTGGAAAGTGCTAGTGTAGACAAACTAAACACTTAATATCACAATTACCTTCCACATTTTCATCACAATAATTAGTGAATATTGAGCCACACTTGTTGTTTGTTATCTTTCGCAATACTAAGTGTGTGTATTTGTTTGTGATTTTCAGATTACATAGGTTGTTTTATGAAGTGAGTGTAGCATTGGACTTACAGAAACTATTTGTAGATCTTCAGATAGCTTCAGCTAGATCAGAATGAAATAGGATTGTTGTGGTGGCCTCCTGATGTGACAGGATGGGTGATGTCATTTCATAATCTATGTGTTTGACAATAAGTTTTTTGAATATATTTCTAATGGAAAAGAAACCCCCTGCAAGTATAAAAATACCATAGTAGGGAACAGTTTGTCCTAGAACATTTTCCTATGTTTCATTTTTTTTAATGGGTAGAAACTTTTAAAACATGGGTTCATGTTCAATATGGCATCCTCTCACTTATAGTCAGCCCCTCCATTTAAAGAGGAAGCTGCCACAATCTACACACTCTCCTCATCTTACATTGCTGCCTCTTTGGAAGCATTTTTAAGTTAATGTAAAATATTTCTAAGAAAAAGATGTTGGTATAAACAGGATAGGCGGAGGCAGTGGCAACTGCAGCACTAACATGGTAGGGTATGGCAAAAGAAGGCAGCAAGAATGAGAAAGTGGTCCTTTTTGTCTCACCTCTGTTGGTGAAAGGACCAAGGCTAAATAGCACCAACGTTCACTTTAATTGTTAACAGATGTGAGCACTATTGCTGTCATTATTTTTGGAGAAATAACAAATGATCTAATTGATAGTTTTAATCAACAAACAGCCAAAGACCTTTTTACAATTTTGTGCATTTTTTAAAACTATATTTAGAATTATACTGCTTGTTTCCAAATAGCTAAGTAACACTTCTGTTCTCATTTATAAAACTGCAAGATGTTTTCACTTTCTGATAATTGCCATTTTATTCAAAATAGCTTGTTATCTGAATTATATTTTGTAAAGCACAGCTTAAAAATTCCTATGCATGATATCGTTTCCAAAGTGTTTTTTCTACAGTGTTCTTTACTGGGTAGAATTTCAGTTGTTTTTATTGCCTAAATTCCAACATTCCTTTTTTTTTTGCAATTAAATTAATTGTTGCTATTTTGGAATTGAGCAATTTTTCATAATGGGTTTATTTTTGTTATTTTAAAATACAAAGATTGACACAGTAATTGAAAGATCAGGCTTCTGGAAGCCCAAACTAATGTGGTCATGTAGAGAAATGTATACCAGGAAAGTGAGAGAATGTGTTTGCTGATGTTTTTCCAGGAAAGTTACACAGCAGAAATATGAATGAAGTTCTTTAGTAGCATTCCGAGGCTGTTTGTCATAAGATCACTTGGATCATAGATTCAGTGTCACAGTGGAATAAAATCAGAACAATGTCAAAACAATACAAGGAGGGGCATGCCTGTTGCTAATTAGAGGTTTCCAGTGTGTTGCTGGAAGGATAAAGAGTTGAATCATTTTCTTTTCTATTTTTGTCTTTGAACTTTTTGACATGTTTTTGCATGTTTCAGTTTTTAGGACTACAGTATCACCCATCCTTTGCGGGAATAATTTATATTGAATTCACTGAAACTTGCTTCAGACTATAATGTGTGTAATCTTCTGGATACTCTGAATTATGTGGATTTTAACCTCATCTGGAATGCTGCTCTATACAGACAGAAAAAATATCTAAGCTTTCTTAGCATTTGTTTTGCTTTGCCAATTGGTTGCTATTGTTCTAACTCTTCTAACTTGCTACTTTATGGTCCATTTGAGAAATAATGTTGCCTCTCTAATAACCCACAGTTTGCTGGAGCAAGTACAAGCTATGACCTTCTCTTATATACTTTACTCCAGTGGAAACTTCTTGTTTAGTAAATACAGTTTCCCATGAACTTGCAAAATGTTGCCCAAGTGTTGCTTGGAAGTCTTCATTTGCAAAGCAAGATCAACTTGTAGGCTTCAGTCGTATTTTGTAATCAAACACTCCATCCAAAGTTTTCTAGGTCAGACATTACAGGCGTCCTCTGAGGCTAGTTATAAATGGGAGAAAACAAAAAGAGGGAAAGGAGTGTACCATATTGCTCATTTTAAATTCACCCGGAACAGTAGCCATAGAATTACCCAACAACACATCAATATTAAAAGAAAAAAATCCTGCCTTCTCTTCATATCTATTTGTTAGGGCATGGAAAAGGAATGGGTCAGGACAATTAAAAAGGTTGGGTCAAGCCTGATACAAATTGAAATAAGATGGTACCGGCATTTGGGTACAGTACTGTAATAGGTAAACGACTAAAGCGGGGACAGGCTATTTCCAGGGGCCTGTTAGGAGAATGACCAGGGTAATATATATGGGGCTAGGTCATGTCCGGACAGTGTCTGGGCTGAGCTAGCACTGGTCACTCTCGAAGATTTGTTGAAACCACCAAGTCTTCAAACACTTACGAAAAGAGG